TTTTTTGTACTATTCGTTAGCCAACGCCATTAGCTGTAGTAATAGGAAATGTTAAGGGATTTTAAGTGTCAGAATTTTCTTAACAAAAATGTTATTATTGCTCTATTCATTCACAAAATGATATTTTTTGTGATCACTTTAATTAGTTTCATTAAGGGATGAGATAACGAAATTCATGGCCAAAGTGGGTTTATGCAAGGCAAACTGTTAAATTCACATGCGCTGCGGATATTTGTTTATGAAATTCTTACTCTGTAAAGATAAGGAAGGAAAAAGATTTTAATTAGAAAAAAATGAAGAGATTATAATCGGAAGAAGTTTTAATTTTATTGAATTTTTTCAAGTTAGAACAAGTAACAATTTTTCGAGTTTCCTCGGAGTCTTTAGCACGTCGAACGATGCCCTTTGAAACAGCCTTTTCTTCGTTTTATGTCGACTTTTAGTGCTCTTTCTTTTAATTTTTTGCGCTGAGAGTCTCTAGCTTCAGCTCCATTGCTTCTTTGGCATGCTGTCGTTCAAAAAGGGCTTTCAGAATCTGATCCGAAATTTATTTTTCTTTCTTGATGTGGGACCTGACAGAATAATGATCATTTGTAATCTCTGTGGATTGTTTTTGCTTTGTGCCTCAACTACATTCTGAAGCAAATTTAACAGTTTGCAGTGCTGTGTCAATGCTGTTTCTACTTATCCTCTGAAGCAAATTAAATAGGTTTTTGCCGACACCGAGTAGCTATGGTTTTTGAAAGGGTTTTAAAATATGGTAGTTGCACCAGGATTCACATTTAAGATGTCAGTGATAAAAGGATTTATTTCAAAGTGACGTTTAATTTGCTGTTAGTGATAAATACTTTATATTCTCTAAAAAATTGGGAACTCGCTTGATTTAACGGCGGATACTTGTTAATCAACCAAGTAGAGGTATACTGAGAAGTAATTTAAATCGAGTTTTGATAAGTTTCATTGCTACTTAATGGAGCACTGCGATTAAAACAGGAAGGCATTTTTTGTCAGGATCTGTCTAGAGTTGTCTTGTAAAAACTTTAATGAAAGTCTCTCGAAAAGGTTTTTTCAATAAAATGTAAAACTACGTTGTTTTCAGAATACGATAATAAAAATATTGATGACTTTGTCTATGACATAAGTCTGCTGAAGGCACCGCAAAATTACGGAGCCAATAAATCGGATAAAAATTCAAAGCAGCCTGAATCGAAGAAGGTTGCAAAAGGACAGAATGAGGAGAAGGAACCTGAAGGAACGTTGGAAAGCCTTCAGGAACAACCAGTATTGACTCAGAAGAAAGGACAGAATGAATTTGTTGAATTTGTTGATCCTAAACCTGACAAACAGCTGAAGAAAGTAGAGGTTTTGGAAAAGCGAGTTGAAACTCGTCACAACCGTGTTTATGTTTCTCCCTTGACTACTGGCGGAAATCTTCTTTTTGTCTGTAAGTATAATGGTTTTTTTATCAGTAGGTGCTTTTCATTTGTTTTTTGTAAAATTTTAGGATTGTTTTTAAAGTTCGTTTGGTCTTTATTTTTTTCTGGTATACATTGCATTCTAATTTTTAAGTAAATTCTGACCAGTCTTCGTCATATTTTTATTGCTTCTTCTTGGCAGTAACAGTTTTCACTCTTCGGAAATTTATCAATTTGTTTACCACTTTTTTTTTGCTCTTTTTATAAAAATTTTCAGTCTGGCTGATTTACATCACGAAGGTGAAATATAAAAAATTGACGCATTCAAAATCGTAATTTAATGTATGCCTTACGTTTTTTGCTTTTGCCATTGATAAAAACTTGGAGGTCTATTTTCTAATACATTTTTGAAAAGTGGGTCAGACCTTATTGATCTTTTTAGTTTTTTAAACGCCTATTTAATGGAATTGTATGAAATGTTTTTTGAATTTTAGAGAAAAAGGTTCGTGATATTTATTGTTTGTGGCAAAAAAATAGGATACTTTTTTATATTTTGCTGGTTTTAAATTTCTTTGATGGGAGCCGGTTGATCAAGGAGCAAAAACGTTGTCAACAAGGCTTTTTTTGTCATTTCCTCAAGGATGCTTAGCGTCAGTTTCTTCAAATCTTCCTGTTTACGATCACTTTTAGTCAAGGAGCTGCCTTATACATATAGCAAAAAAGTATTAACTGGAAGGATCAGGTTAATGTTGAATAATATGGGTTAATTCAAAGTTGTGTACATCAAAACTCCAAATAAGATGTTGAGGTTGTGGAAAAAATGATTTATAACAAGCAGAATAAAATCAATAGGGCCTTCAAAGTATGGCACAAAATGGTTTTTTGTGATGTTTATACGATAAGTTTGGCTGTGCCCATAGTAAATGATTGTTCAGTGATAGCCATTGTTTTGCCACTGATTTCTGAGCTGCAGTTCAGTAGGAAGTTTTTATTAAAATAACAGAAATTATGCGTAAATTTAAAAAAATTGAATAACTTGAGCATAATTTGGTCTTTTAAAGTGACTTTTGATGTTGAGCATGAATTTCCTCTGTAGTTTCATCGTTATTCATAGAACTTTTTACTGATTTTATCACTGGAATGACTGTGTTTTTGCAAATTCCGTTTCGATTCAGCGAACAATTTTCCAGATCATTTTGTTGATGTTAAACTTGGCATCACCACTTACATTTACTCATTGCACGTCATATGCGTAAATGTCAATTTTTTAAAGGTCTTCGCAGTCTTAGTATATTATCAAGATTTTTGTAGATGGGATTCTCACTACTTCTTTATCGTTTTTTTTTTCTTTAGTGCTTGTTTAAGTTCTATTGTTTTGCATACGGTGTTTAGTTATTAGTTCATATCTTGTGTGATTCACATTTCATTTGATGTCAGTATTTTGTCATAATGTTATACAAAATAGGTGTGTCAGTAAGACTGCGTCTGCATTTACTATTCTTTTGGAAATCAACTTTTTCTTGGTAAAGATTTTCTAAAAAATTCGCAACTGATATCAGTAGGTCATATACAGCAAATTTATTGTAGTTTTTATTAAGTTTTTATTAGGAGGTTTTTGAAAGATATTTGATTTTATCAAAATCGTATTATTTTTTTTAGGTGCGTTGAGTTTCTAGTTTAATTTTTTAAAGCTCCTAGCATTGTTGTGTTAAAAATAAAATTTATTCAGAGAATGAATTTATAATTAGGTTATCTGAAGTGAAAATATTTTTAATTTGATCTATTCAGGTGTTTGAGCTTTTATATAGTGCTGAAGTCATATCAATGCAGCCAGTAAGACAGCAACGGTTTTGCATAGTAATTCTGAAATCTTGACACGTATTCGTTGTCATCTTTTTGATCATAATAATTTTGATAATCATCTGTACCAGTACTTTTGTTTATTACTTTCTTTGAGTTCTTGTTTATACCGGTGTCTAAGCGGCTAATTTAAGCTGAAGATTTCTGAAGAGAATTTGAACAGACAAAATTTTTTGTACTTATTTTACTTATTTTATTTATTAACTTCTTTATAAACATACGTTTGAGAAGTAACCTCAAAATATGGGACAAGCATCAATAAAAATTAGTGTAATAGCAAATCTGTTTAGGATAGTCGATACATGTCTGGTTGTTTTAAGATATGGATATTCGGGGGAATATCCAAAAGTGTGTGAATCATCTTTGCTGTTTATTCGTTAATTATTTATATTCTGAATTATAAGTTTTATAACTTTTGAGGTTGAACTGACTAAGAACATGAAATTAAAATGACAAAACTCTCATGTTTTATAAGCGTTGAACTGATTTAAGCTGGACCAGTTAAATTCTTTACCCGTAGATGCGAGGGTAATTTTTACATTGGAGGATTTACATTAAACTATTTGCAGTATTAGATTTTGGTACCACTTTTAATTCAAGTTTTCTAAATTAACAAGCTATAATGCAGTAAATTTATTGGTCTTTTACGGTTTATTTGGTTATTTCTTTTCTTTAAAAAAAAAAACGAATTTTAAAGTTCAGGTTTTTTTAGACAGAAAACTCTTAATAATATTTTTCCGCACTTTCTAAAACTTTGTTGTTTTTTGTTGTGCAGACATTCTAAAGACCTATTTGTTAGGAAAGAATTTATAGTCTAATGACTTTCTCCTAAATTTATTGGTGTTTTTCTGTTTTAGCAGTAGCAACAGTCTGCATTATAGCTGCAGTGATCGGTATCATTGGAGGAACCTATTATTTCCACAAGTAAGTTTTATTCAGTTATTAATTTGTCTAGTAACCATGGCTGGACTGTTTTTTTAGAACCCTAGGGAAAATTTCAGATTGTCTTTGTTATTTATGATTGTGCTTTTTTTCTAGTCTACATGTAAAATTGGAAGCAAAAATTTGAATGTGAGATCAATAAAAATTTATGAGGGATTTTTTTTTACAGTGATTTACAGCTTCTTCAATATTTGCTACAGAAATATTTTTAGAAATAAAATTGATTTTCTCATTAGTTGACTGTAACATTTAAATTTTATAAATAGTCGAATAGGCCAGTAATTAATGCCACAGGCACAAATCCATTTTGTTAATAGTGGATCAGCTGAATATTTTAGAGTAAGAAGTCAGCGCATTGAAGACGCTTTTTCGAACTTCTCACATTATGCGCCGACTGGACCCGGGAAGGAAAAGAAGAAAAAAGATGGTGATGAAGGCTTAGCGTACAGAGTAAGTTTTACTTGTAATCTTCTTTATTGCTACTTTTTAGAACTTAGTTTGGTTTTTACTGCCAAGTGACAAAGCATTTATAGTTTTTTCTGAAAACAAACTTGTATGCTTGGAAGTAAACATGTAGCGCTACTGCTACTTTGCCTACAATGTTTCAGAAATTATCATACAATTAATTGTGTTTGCTGTCATGAGGACTTTTACCATCTTTTCTAGTTTAGTACTTTGTTTTTAATTTAGTTTATTGAATAAGACATCATGTTTCTACCCTGTTTCGAGGGTTGTCTTAGGTTTGCTTATATCCGTCATATTTATGTGTTTACTAGACAACGTAAATTGTCACCCATTTGTCGCATTAGACAAATATTCTTTTTTGTTAACGCTGATGCATATAACGCGTGTTTTCCGCTTCCTCTCATTCAGAGTTTTGAGCTCAAAATTGTATAGTTTGTTGGTTAAAAGAAAAGGCTAATGTTCACAAAGCTGGTAAATTGCTGCGCTGTGGGTTTAATATGGGTATTGCGGCCACCATTGTTCAATGCTTAATTGGAAATGCCATCATTTTTAGTTCTTTTCACCACTGGCATTTAGTGATGAGAAATAAACAAATTTGGACGAGAAGTTTGTCAATTATTAATTCAACTTTTTGAAATTATTGCTATTTTTGTTTCGGAAGTTGTGTTTTTAACGCTTTTCGGGATGTTTTTTGGATAGCTTCATTAAGAAGTATGTTGAGGAATTACCCTGATGGCACAGCGCGTGTCACTTACGAGTGACAGTGTGGTAACAAAGAGAGATTAGAAGAGCTGAGTCTGGAACACCTGGTTCTTCTGCAGACTTAATTGGTTTATGCAAATTCGCCACTCCTTAGCACCATACATTATTTCCAGGCCTAATTTTTAATCGGCGTCGTTACCACGTCTCTTAAACACAGTTTCTAACACACCTCTCGGAGTAATTGCTTTTTGATGATTTTTGAGATTAATGAGGAATATAAGTTGTGGAAGCAAGCATGCACTGTTGAGCTGCCTCTCCACTTTAAAGGAGTCGCATAAACGTTCAGTCTCTTTTCAGTACGGGAAGGTATAGTTGTTATATTTTTCTATAATATTTAACTTTCAATCTCCAGTTTTCACTGTATCAAGCTCATATTTTATTTCTCTTGTTTTCCAAATATGATACAAATTATGACGAAGTGTTTGCATAAAAATTTTTAAATGGGCTAAATAAGGCTAAAGTGCTGTTCGTAGAGAAATTTTTCAAGGAAATTTTGCTGGACAGAGCAAATGTTTAAGCGTCTTCTCGAGTCATTCAATGGTTATTTGAAGAAAGTCATAGACGCATTACGAAGATTTTTGATCTGGAAGAACATGTTAGGGGGTTTTGCGTCTTTTTTTACATGCTTCAGTGTTTTCATGCTTCGCTGATGCAGTCCGCGTAGTTCTAGCGGTTTTCACGAGAAGTCCACTTTTTGATGATGCTTAAGGCTCTGTGCAATGAGTGGCACAACGGAAACAGCTCGCATATATCTGTGAAAAGTTTTAAAAAGTAGGATTTGGTGGGAGCTTTTTTTTTTTTTTTTTTTTTT